ATCAATCTAAGGGTGCCGAATGTAGTGCTAACCTACAACAGATTCCTGCTTCACACAATGTGCTCTCAGTGTGAGAACACAAGTTCATATGTATTTGACTGCACTTGAAAGTTGCCCATATTTTTACCATAATGGTTTAAAAGAAAGGTTTGCATCTGTTCATAAGCAGGATATGGTGTAGTCTTCATGTGCGCCTTTGTGACATTCTTTGAGGATGGCTCACAGCGAAAGTTCGTTACTTTTTTGATTTTCTTTGCATGATGAGCAATTGCTGTCCAAGTTTGGCTGATTCATTTAAACTTCACCAAACACGGCAACAACAATACTACAGCGAGAATCAAAGTTACGCCTTCTTTCTTTGCGTGCACATTTGGGCGGTGTTATGCAAATCTTCGCACATCGTGACGTAGACATGTGGGGTGTGTTAGAACGAGCCGTTTTAGGTAGGCGTGGTTGGCTCTTAACTTTTATAAATAATTTCTCTTTGGATTTGAGACTTTAGTCTTTGCAACTTTACAGATCTCCTTTATGCACCAAGAGCTTGTAACACTCCAAAGAGAAAGGAAAAATTGAAATCGCATCATATGACCCCTTTAACTCAAACACAGTTCAATACTGGACTATATGTACACACTGCACTTAATAGAATAATATGTGACCACTGGATACCATCCAATGCACACCCATGACATTTTGCGTATGCAGTTCATGTATAATCTGCTGCACCTTCGCATATTTTGTGTATAATATATATGTGTACATAATGCAGAATGTGTACATACTGTGTATAAAGTGTATTGCTAACTGTAAGTATGTCTAATAGTACACTGTGTGTACTGAGTATATGCATGTGTAGTCTGTAAGTATGTCTATATGTAATTGTTTCTGCACTGTATGGAGCACGCTCCCAAGAATTTCACTCACCAAGACACATGTGCTGTGGTGATGTGACAATAAAAGTTTTTTTTTAAAATTTTGATTAGATTTTTTTTTTATTTGTTCAATAAGAACAATATTATATAAGTTATTGAGGGGGAAAACATCTCATTGCAGTTTACATCAGTTTACAACATTTTATGTTTTCTTTTATTATTTTAATATATTAATATTGATGTACCTATATTTAGGTACTTTTGAGTCATCATGTGGCTGCACGGTAAGTTTTCTGAGACCCCTTGGTTGAGAACCACTGATAAGAGATAATAAAATAATAGTTAAATAAAATAAAAATAAAATAGAAATAATAAAATAAAAATAACATGGCCCCCATATTTACATGTCCATAACATTTATTTGGTTCAGCTTATTTGGTTATGTGATTCAGGCTTCCCAAAGAGGCCATTATTGAAAGATGAGGCAGTTAAAACTGTATTAGATTCAGTCAGAAAAGAGACAAAATACTTTGGGACCTCAAACATTAAAAATGCTCAAGAAAGAGCATCATCACAACACTTGAGCTGAATATACATTTCCTAAACTTGACCTCTCCCCAAGGGCAAGACATTTAAAGCACCCGAATACATCTCGAGTCTGTAATTCAAAGAAGATTCTGCTTTCCCAGAATGCAGCAGTCTGGAGCCCTGTGGTCAAGCGTCTGTTTATATTAACCTCTAATCTGCTCTCCCTCGAGATAGGCCAAAGAAATAGGCCATGGCACGCATATACACACACTCTTTCGTGGAAATGAAAACCAAACATGGAAATGAGCAAATACTTTAATAGGTGCCTTCTTTGCCTTTCCTAGAATTCCCTTCGATTGAGTATCTCGGCAATAAAAATACAGACAGGAATTAGTGGGGCGGTGACAGTTGCAGACAAATCATATGCCTGTTCTGTAATAAAAGATGGCTGGGGTAGGGTAGGTTTTACTTGCTCAGCATACGGTCTGATTGAATGATTTTTAAAGGTCTGAGAGCACCACTGTAAACAGCAGGCCGAGTGAAGGGACTCAGGGACCGAGATGTAGTGTGTTTGACTGACCTTTTCTGCCGTGAGCTCTCGGATCACGCTCATCTGTCCACGGAACTTGAAGAGCAGGGCCTCGAGAGCCATGTACTTCTCTTTCCACTCCCCGCCTGCGCTTTCATCGCCCTCCGCCATGCCGTCACCCCTCAGGCCCTGCCACATCACATACACAGCATGAGACCCAAGCAGATGGACACACAGAGCTTGTAGTAGAAGACCACTCAAGACGATAAACTAATGAAGATAAGACTAAATATGAATCAGATGCAGGACAGGCTGGGTGAAATAGCAAAGCAATTATATCTTGATATTTTTCAGCCTCTTCAAGATATTTGATATACATCTTGATATTTCTATAATTGCTCTTAGGAACCATCATTTTGACCAACCAGCCACATTTTAACATTGAAACGTAGATGTCAGTTGTTGTTTAACATTGAAAAATGTTGAAACAATGCTTAATGCTTATATAAAAAGTTAACAAATTACTTAATTAATGCTTATTTCCTTATGTTGAAAAGGCGTAAAAATAATATTGCAATATCAATGAATGTTGATCCCATTTGCAAAATCAGAACAAACATTGCAATGCTGTCTGAGCATTTAGATTCTAAACATTTAAATGCAAGAACTAAACTGCAGTAAAAATCAATAAAAAAAATATTTAAGCATGTATCCACATAATTATCTTCATGCATTTTTACTGAAACATTGCAGCATATGAAAAATGTCAGACAGGGACTTCTGTAAAAAGATTTTTGTGATGATGAAAACTAATTGCTGAATCAGGTATATGAATCAGTTCACAGAAACTCAGTTTGAAATGATTCATGGAAATTGGAAACATAATGGCCAAACAAACAAGTCAGCGTGTGACTGACCTTCAACATTGCAAAAGCAGTATCAGTTGTTTCAATGCTGAAAAAACAAAAAACAAACCTGAAACAATGTCTAATGGTTATAAAATGTACTTCAATTACATCAAATAAGTACTTAAAATACTTACACATCAACAAACAATGTTGCAATATTAACAGTGATTTGATTACCAATATCAAAACAAAATTCAAGAGTGATTCAACCTTGACCCATGATGAAATACAGACTGGGAAAGCACATCAAAATAATCATCATCATGAATAGCAAAAATGTCTAGAAAATGTGCTTCTTCCACAGCTTGACTTTTCACAACTTGCACAGAAATCTGATTAATACAGGTATATGCCAGCTGTCGATATTAACTGAAATGTTCATAGATGCTTGATATCAGAGATAAACTTTTACTTTAATCAGTTGGAAAGAAACTGTATTGGTTGGAGAAAGAGGCAGTGACAATTATTGGTCTCGGAGGGCCACAGGCAGAGCCCTGGACAAACTGAGCACCACTATAAAAACAAACCCTACCAGCCAGCACTGATGCACCATCATCACACTTTTCCATCATAAAAGTTTTAATTATGACAAGCATGTGTCAACTGATGTAAAGCAGGTGGGGGAAAGCACAACAGCACATTTCATTACAACTTCTCTACAACTCTTGGTTACAATAAGCTCTCATTATAGCATTGGCACGGGCACAAAGAGAGTGTAAACATGTGTTGAGCTCAATTAAGCTGTTCTGGTAAATAAGACTGAGGGTTTGAATCTTAACCAATGTGGATAAAAACATGTTTTACAGTGGAACAACTTCCTTATGAGGAAAATTTAGGGAAAGTGAGCCAAAGTGGATAACAGGGTCATTAAATGTAGATCTAGAAGTGTATACAAGTACATACAGTAGAAGATCAGGAAGGTAATATATACTGCAGTATGAGATTAAAATGCTCTCTTCATAACCATTAAAAGTATAAATAGATGTTTAGTTAAGAGGTCTCCAATATGGTACACATATAACATTTATGTTGTGAATTGTACAGTTGAGACCAGGTATGAATCTCCATCTCAGGACTAGAAGGTGATCTGTCAGTTTCACTGCATAATGCAGAGCAAACATACAATGAGCCAACATAACATTATCTGCATTACATATACATTTCAGCCTAAAATATTTAGATTAAAATGGTCTATGGGTACATTATGTGTTAACTACCTACCGCAGCTAGTGACAGATTTGTGTTCTTGAAAATGAATAGAATATACATAGCCAAACTGAATTTCAGTTATATCAAATCAATTATTAATAGTGTATTTCAAACGTATTCAATAATAAGCCTTTCATTTTCAAAATAACTTTTGAAGTAATCAACAGGGTG